AATGGTTTCAGGATGAAATTTTTCCACCACAGATCATCAGGCATTAGATTCTCATAAGGAACATGCCTAGGTCCCTTGCATGTGCAGTTCACAATAAGGTTGGTGTTCCTATGAGAATCTAATGCCACAGCTGATTTGACAAGAGGCAGAGCTCAGGCGGTAATGCTCACTTTCCCACTGCTCACCTTCTGCTCTGTGGTCCAGTTCCTAACAGGCCAAAGACTGGTACTGGTCTACGGCCCAGGGGTTGGGGACCCCTGCATTAGGGAACTGTGAATAAGATTGTTGGATTGCATCAATGTCAGTATTCTGGTTGTGTTATCGTACTATGGTTTTGCAAGATGTTATCATTTGGGGAAACTGGATTGAGGGCCCATGTGACTCTCTGTTCTCTTTATTACAACCATATGCAAATCTACAATTATATTATTATCACCGATAATCATATTCCTTATCTTAGATCTGTTTTGAAAAAGATAACTTTTTGCCTAATATAATATGGTATTAAAAGTACAAACTTTGACCTTGACATATCTGGACTTGAATCCTGGCTCTATCGCTTTTTAATTGACAATGTTACTTAACCTCACATGGCTTTGTTTTCTCATCAAATGAATAAGAATAATAGTAAATACCTTGCAGGGTTTCAGGGATTAAATTAGATAGAGTATGTAAATCACTTTTTCAGTACTTGACATATAGGGAACACTGAAAAATATTAGCTGCTGTGGTCATCATCATCATTATAATCCTCACTATTAATTATTAATTATGTGATTAGAGATAAGAGGAAGTTTTAATCACCTTTTCTCAGGCTAGAGTCTAAACTAGCTGCTGGATATTCTGGCTTCTCTTTAATAACGGTCACTTGGAATTTTTACATTGTTTTACTTAAAATGAGTTTATTGTTTTACTTAAAATAAGTTAAAGTCAATTTTATTCCTTGGAACAATATGGTCATTGCTAATGAATGTATTGTAACAAACTATTAGAATTAATGATGGTAGATACTGAGATCAGTGTATTCCGTGTAAAATAAAATATAACAGAAAAGAGGAAGGAATTTATTGAAAATTGAACAACATTCATAGTATCCAAACTCCAGCAATATGTTTCTGAAACACATAATTATTTTTAGCTGGAGACTTGAAGGTTTTCTTTGCTAAAACAGTGCAACCAATTTCTCCCTTTTCTATCAATCACTGAAGTCCATCTGATATAATGGAAAAAGCCCAGGACAGGATGATTAGCAGTTTTGGACTCTAGATCCAGCTCTGTCATGACACTGTAACCTTAGGCTCATATCTTTTACCTTCTCTAGCCACCTGTTTTCCTATGTGTAAATTATGAGCTTTGGATTAGATTAGTGATTCTCAAAGAATGACCCCTGGACCAGCGGCCCCAGCTTCACCTGGGAACTTTTTAGAAATGTACACCCTCAGACCCCTACCTCAGATCTACTGATTTAAAGACTCTTGATGGGGAGCAGGGGGAGAGAAGGAAACAATCTGTGTTTTAACAAGCCCTGTGGATGATTCTGATATACACTAGAGTTTGAGAATCACTGCCCTAAATTAAATTTTAGCCTAAAATTTAAATTGTTGGACTGAATTTCAGAGTTTTCTGATTCAATAGTCATGGAGTAGAGCTTAAGAATTTGCTTTTTAAAAAAAGTTTCCAGATATTGCTCAGGCTGCTGGTCAGGTACTACACTTTGCGAAGTAATACTAGGTTATCTCAAAGTTCTATTCCAACTCTGTTTCTATTATTACTCTTGCTTTCACGATGTCCTCTGACCTCCTCCTTATTTACTTTGTCTCTCATCTTATCGAATAGCCTCTGGGTTAATCTTTAGTGTTTGAAGTTTCTAACATATCTTTCTTTGTAGAGTGTGATGAACAGAAATGAACTGACCTAAATTCTTACAGCTTATGTTAATATGAAATACCTACAGCTCTTTGGCAGTAAAAATGACCCCAAGAGCTTGGTTAGTTATCTCATGAAGATGGAAAATTATGAAGGAAGTAATTTAAGACACTAAGTTTCAAGAATTAAGGGTTGGTTTCTAATTGCTATTGACCTCCTTCTGTTGTCTGATGATGTGAAGAGCTTGGGCGACCAATGTAAAAATAATGTTTTCATTCTAAGATGCTGTTAAATAAGTAACACCAAAGAGCTCCAAATATATGTTCAAATGAACATGTATTCCCATCTCTTCTTTATCATGGTTTTCTAGATACTTGGGATAAGATAATTCTCTGTGAGGCATATTGTCTGCTAAACATGACAAACCTCTGCCTGCCAAACTGAATTATTTAGTTGGGTCATGTTTCTTTCTTAGAGTTATGAGTAAGATCAACTATTGCTTTTATATTGCTAATTTTATCAGTAACTTGATAATTTTTTAGTCCTGAATATGGAAACCATATAAGAAAAGTACAAGAATCTAACAAGGATTTACTGTGACATTGCATTACTATTATGTCAAGTACTGTGCCATGAGAGTTACTTTTATTGTTTATTTAGTCCTCATAATAGTTGTGTAAGGTAGTATAATAAGCTTCAGTTTTTACATGAAGAAATATACTCAGAACAATTAAGTAACTGTTCACGATTACACAGTCAAAAAAATAGTAGCATATAGATTTGAGTTTAGATTTTTTTACCAACAAGGCCTTCATGGGCACCCAGTAAATTCTCAATAAATTCATGATGAATGAATGAAGGAATGACTGTAATCACACTATCTTCTTAATGTTGACTTTTAAACAATCATAGAATTATAAAGTTGGAAAGGCCCTAAAGGTTATTATATAATCAGGTTTTTAGTTATGTATTTCCTTTAAATATCTCTAACATATGGGGTTATACAGCCTTTCTTCACCTGACCATCTCCAGAGAAAGGATATATAACATCTCTTTAATCAGAGTGACTATAGAATAGTTTATTACTAGAAAGTTCTTCTTTGCATTTCATTTCCATGAAATTTCTTCTTTTGGGCCTAGTTCTCCCTCTGTTAACCATTCAGTCTTAATTCAATCCTTCTTCCATACATCATTCTTTCAAACATTTGAATATAACCTTACCTCTTTTATCTCTCAAGCTAAATATTCAAACATCTTCAGCTACTTCTCAATAATAACATAATATTTATGAAATGGAAGAAATAATAAATGAATATAATATCCAGACTCATCACTTTCTTTTTCTCCCATTTTAGAGTGTAAGCCATCTGTGCTATATGTTATGTACATATTAGGGCCATTTTTCTGGAGGAAAACGAAATTATTTCCTTTGATGTACTCTTGCACCAAACAATTGTAACCCATACAAAATACTGTGTTTTATTTTCTGGCATAGTACAGTGACCTTGTCTCTGACATCTCAAGTTTGCATCAGGGTACAACAAGCTGGAGTTCAGCAGCAAACCCGGTGCTTTTCTTCAGGGTTAAAGGCGAGACCTGGGCACTAGGGGATCAGCCTCAATTTAAGCAGGCTTAGTTTGTACTCCAATGTACGCAGCTTGGGCTTACCTCAGCTAAAATGGAAGAAATAGCTGCTCAAAGCTAGTTTCTTTCACGCCCCACTGGCAAGGTAGTAATTGCACAAAGACCTTTTTATTATAAGTTGATTTTCCTGAGAAATGAATTCAGAAAAATCCTGTAAAGTGTTTATTTTTTGCTTGCCCTTTATTAACCCACATCTTAGGGCTTTCCCTAGAGAAAAGCTGTTGGTAAATGAAGCCTCTTAGACCCACACAGAAGCATTTTTTGCACTGCGTCCCTGGCTATGAAGGGAACAGGGACAGGAAAAGGCAAGCCAGTGCTGATTAAACAGGGTCATCAGCCAGTGTATGGAATTTTGCCTAAAGAGAAGATTTAGGAATTTAGACGGGGAAGGGTTTGGGGTTGGAAGAATTACTGGTAAAGGTTTGTATTTTAAATAAGATATAATGTAGTCCTTTTATACTAGTAGAAAGGCTAAATACCCTGTTTGAACTTAAAGATAATTTCTTTTGGTATATCTTAGTTTTGATCTTTAAATAATAAAAGTCCTGTATTCAACCCATAAAATTGTGCCCTAAAAGCCAGGACAAAACCTTCCTGTCATGCTATCCTGGAATCCGAACAGCATTCATAGAGTAAAGAAGGAAGCTAGGAAATTAAAATGTAATTTTCACAAGCATGATTCTGTCATAGCTCTTATTTTCTTTATATGGAATACAAATACTGATATAGAGTAAAGATTTTCTATTTTGCATTTTTGTGCTCTTTGATACATTTATTGAGGTCAAATGAAATTTGATATAGTAGGATTTATTATGAAATGCTCTCTGAATACAACTCCATAATTACTGAGCTACATGGTAGTGCATAAAGCTGTAAAACTGCTTAGCCAGACAAGCAATTTATATGTTACATCGAGGTGTGTATGGCAAAGAATATTAGTTTAATTGGGAGCCAAGATGTAGTAGCCTTAAATCTGAAGAGCTATATGTTTAACATAATGCAGTGAGGCTTTGAAATAAGATACCTAAACTGGAGAGATACAGCTTTTAGAATATATAACAATTAGACATTATTTTCTGACCAGGGATACTAAATACTGTTTTTGAAAGAAAGCACAGAATGCAAAGCAGGTGAAAGGGCAAAACCTCTAACATTGTACAAGAAATAATGTAATACATTATTTCTTCTAGTTCTTTGTTTAAAAGAAAAAATAAAAAGGAAAATGTCAAGAGAAAAGAACACCATTACTACAGTTTGGTGGAAGCAGGGATGAGGCAAATTCACAATGACGTTATGTCTTCAGCATGCTATTAGCATCTCAGAAAAGGGATTTGGTGAATTTTAACTGAATTTCCTCAGAGAGTAGATTTGGAATGAGGTTAGAGGTAGGTGGCTATGTGAGTACCAGCACAACACCAGGAGTGAAAAACAAATTCTTCTTGGCATACATTTGCTCCCTGTCTGATCATAGGCTCTCTTCTGTTTAGCAGGTTCAGGGTCACATGCCTCCGCTCATGATCCCAATTTTTCCACATGACCAGCGGACCCTGGCAGCAGCTGCTGCTGCCCAACAGGGATTCCTCTTCCCCCCTGGAATAACATACAAACCAGGTAAGTAGAGAGGGATTTAACATTCTTTTGGAAATGCTCAGATCCACATGTTTTTGCTTAGTACTCACAACAAACACAGGAGCATGCAAGGGAACTATGAATAAAAATATCATAAAAGCTTATTTTAAAGTAAAATTAGAATTGGGAAGAGCGGGCATTGTAATAAACTAATTGGTTGCTAAACTTTTACTTTCTCTTCTTCCACCTGAGTTTGTCTTGAATTCACAGATAAGATACTACTTCTCCTGGGGACTACAATGTTTTTGTCAGCTCTCTCCCATATTTTACTGAATAATTTTTTTTTGTTAAAGATCCTTTTCTCCCTGCGAAAGCTGTTATGCTCTGGGAAGGTGATCACATACAGTATAAAATGTTATTGTTTGTTTTCAGACTTCTCCTAGAAAAATAGTTAAAACTGGACTGATTTAATTAGCTTACCATTAGTAGGTAAAATTGCTTTTATTTTCGTCTAAATAATGAAGTATTCAGTATTTTTTAATTCATTTTTAAATCTCAAAAAAAAAGGTCATGTAACCTTGCAGTGAAATATGTTTTAAGATGATTTAGCAAATATTATGATTTTTCTTTATTCCTCTGAGTTTACTGGACTCCTGGGGAATTCAATTAGGGGCATAATGGTTTGAAGCTTCTTTCAGAGCCTCCTTGTAAACAGGGCTTTAAATGTTTAAAGATATGTTTCCAAAGGAATCCAATGTAAGAAGATAGTCAAGTAAATAAAAGTCAACCTTAATTTCATTTATGCATTCTTTGTAAGTGACCTCAGCTCAGAAGTAGTGACCTTGTTCTACTCATTAATAATTTCTGTGTCAAGTTCTTTTTAACATATTAACCTGATTATATTAACCATCAAATCTGAGTACAACAAATCTGCATGCAGCATTTTCTTTGTGTATGTGGTTTATAAAGTGAACAAAGGCATTTTAATATGCTTAAAGCAATAAGAAAACATAAATCACTTTACTAAAATTCTGGATAAGGAAGCTTACTAAATAGCATAAAAATAAGCCTAGTGCATTTTAGCATCTGTTCTAATTGCTTGTTGCCATTGATTATTCTTTTGCATTCAATAGAGAACTTCTTTGTAAGAAAAGGTAGGATGTCTGTGACAAAACGCGAATGATTCAAGGAATAGAGATATTAAGGGATTGGTGAGTTTAAGGGCTGTCCAAAAATTCCTCACACATAAATGAACCAAACTCATATTACTAAAAGGTTTTTGGACACCTGAGAGAAAATTATGTCATTAAAATTGTTAAAAATTCATTTTTCTAAAGCATGATTTTTAGAACATGTTATACTTACCTCCTATGAAATTGGCATCTATATTAAGGAAGGAGATTTTTTTTTTTTTCAGTGCAGTGTTTGTCATCTCTATAAGTCATTGGAAACTATTTCTTCATTTCGACTTCCACTGGAACATTGAAGTAAACCAAGTTCACTGTTCTATTCTAAATTTGAGTTTGACATCCCTGTACCAGTCCCAGAAATATTTTAAATGAACTATATGTGGAAACTTTCCATTTGACTTCAGTGTTTTTAAAGTTAAAATGACTCATTTCAAAATCATGTATGGGTCTTATTTTCTGTTAGACGCAGACATCTTATAACTATATTACTTGCCTAATACTGCCACTTTTCATGGGAGAAGATACTGTTATATATTTAATGAATTTAGACCATTTTTCAGTCTTCTCAAACAGCATTAATGAGATTACAAAATTTAACTGAGAAAAATGGAGAAACTAGAAAAATATTGTGCAGAAATTAGGTACTCCCATTGAACAAAGTGCAGCTTAGAGTTAGTGTCCTAGGGTAACAAAGCTGTATTTGATTATGTTGGCTAAACTCTTTTGAGTAAGGCAGGACAATGGCTTTGGAGATGTAGGAAGAATTTTAATCACAAGCAAGGTTGGTAAAAAAGTGTTTACTTTCGTGTCACTCCTAAATTATGTCAGACAATTTAATTAATCAGAACTCTAATAATTTCAATAGTTTGGCAAATCTAGTCTTTGTTGTATATGAAAAATATGTTTAAAATGGATTAAAATGGTATGTTCTTATGCTATTAGTAGAGAAATTACATCCTCAGAAGACTTAATCAATCTATGCAGTGTTTTGATCATTCACGTGAATTAAGTGAAGAGACTGCCATTGGACTGGAAACTGGACAAGTACAATACAACTTTTTTTGCCCCAAACTGAGCTATGGCAACTTCACTTGAAATATATGTGAGGGCTAGGTGTGGAGGCTCATGCCTGTAATCCCAGCACTTTGGGAGGCTGAGGAGTTTGAGGATCACTGGAAACCAGGAGTTCAAGACCAGCCTGGGCAACATAGTGAGACCTTGTCTCTAAAAAGATTAAAAAGTTAACCAAGCTTGGTGGTGTGCACCTGTAGTCCCAGCTACTCAGGAGATTGATGTGGCAGGATTATTTGAGCCTGATAGGTTGAGGCAGCAGCAAGCCATGATTGTGTCACTACACTCCAGTCTGGGCAGCAGAGTGAGAGCCTGTCTCAAAAAAAAAAAAAAAAAAAAAAAGAAAGAAAGAAAGAAAAGTAATGTATGTGAGACAACAATAACAATGACGAAATTTTTGAAAGAAAACCTTGAAATGGTGGCATAAATTTATGTTCTGGTTCCTTTAACAACAGGATGAACAAGTGCTACCTTGGTCTTTGTAAATTAAAAAAGAAAATTTCCCTTTTATTTCTCTTTCCACTTTCCCATATCTGAAATAATTTCATAGCGTTTGTGCCTACAGCTGATGGAATAATTTTCTTGATTTCCAGAGAGCAAAGACCACCTTGGGGTGACCTTCACTGTTAAAGCTGACTGTTTCTGAATCCATGTTAAGACAGTGTAAACAAATACATTTAGAGTTATAGACCTCCACTCCCCACCCCGTGATTTTACCTGCACCTTTGGGCATTTCAGAGTCCCAGAATGTAGTAAACACCAGGCAAGCTCTCCTACCTCTTGCTGAGGGGCATGTTGCCCACAGGGATTGTACAGCTCCAGGACAGCATCTTTCAGATTGATCTCTCTAGAAATAGCTTTATTGAGTTTTAATCCCTAATTTTTAAAATTATTTTACAGGTTCTATAATTAGAGACATATTTCTGGATAGGAACTCATGATCAGGGCTCAGAAAAATAAACCATAGACTTCTGGTTGCTTTGCTCTTTCACATTGTGATACAGAGAGATGCAGCAATTATGAGTATGATAGGTACATTTGAGCATAACTATTGGAGAAAATTAAAAGATAAAGCCTCTTTCACAGTTGCCAATGTATATATCAGATCAAGATCAGCTTGCCTGAAAAATAAAAACAGTAAGTAGCCTCCTTCATACTTCAGAGTTAATTTAGATGACCCATTGCTTTATGTAGTTGGAATTTTTTAAATGATTGCTGCTAGAAAGTACCCTTGAAGTTTCCTAGGAGATCCTAGGAACAGGATGTCTGCCTGATCCTGGGTCTTCCATTTACTCACTAGCTAAAGCTTACTGAATGATTACTGTGCCAAATACTGTGCTAAATATTTCACATGGATTATTTTATTTCATCCTTACTTGAACATGTCATTTAATCTTGCTGAACCTCACTTTTTTCTCATCTAAGAAATGTGTCATGATTTGTCCACTACTCCATGTGAGTGTGAAAACTAAATTTGGTAAAATTTATAAAAGTTATTTGAAAAGATAAAGCACTACGATTGGGAGTAAAGTCTGACAGTGAAATTAACTTTAGTCCATTAAACTTTACCCTTATCCGTTAGAAGTGTGGCCCAAAACCTGAATGTTAGACTGAGTAATAGTATCCATCTGCTATTTGTAAGTATACAACTCAGTGGCAATAATATATTTTCAGTATTGTGTAACTAACGCCACAATCCATACCCAGAATTTTTTCATCATCCCCAACAAAAATGCTGTAGCCATTAATTAATAATTCTCTCTATCCATCTACCCTTAATTTCTGGTCATCTCTATTAGCTTTCTCTATGAATTTGCCTATTGTAGATACTTCATATAATTGGAATCATACAATATTTATCCTTCTGTGTCTGGCTTATTTTGGTAAGCATAACATTTCAAGATCCATCCATATTGTAGCATATATCAAAATTTATTGCTGAATAATATTCTATTATATATATATGCCATATTTTATCTGTTCATCTGTTGATAGGCACTTAGGTTGTTTCTACCTTTTGATTATTATAAATAATGCTTCTATGAACATGGTTATAGAAATGTTTGTTAAGAGTCCCCACTTTCAATCCTTTTGGACATACACCTGTGAGTTGAATTAATGGATTATATGTAGTTGTATGTTTAAACTTTTTAGAAACCACCAAACTGTTTTCCACAGTAGCCATGCCGTTTTATATTCCCACCAGATATTTAAGAGGGTTCCCATTTCTTCACATCCTTGCTAACACTTGTTATTTTCAATTAAAATTTATTATTATCATTGCAGTAGATATGAAGTGGTATCTCATTGTGGTTTTGATTTACATTTGCTTAATGATTTATGATGCTGATCATCTTTTCATGTGCTTATTGGCCATTTGTATATCTCCTATGTAGAACTGTTTATTTAAATAGCTTGTCCATTTTTGAGTTGGATTTTGTTGCTGTTGTTGTTGTTGAGTTTCAGTTCTTTGTATATTATGGATATTAATACCTTATCAGATATATGATTTGCAAATATTTTCTCCCATTCTGTAATTTGTCCTTTAGCATTCTCAATAGTATCTTCTGATACACTAAAGTTCTTAATTTTGATGGAGTCCAATTTATCCCTGTTTCCTGTTGGTACTGGTGCTTTCGATGTTATAGCAATGAAATAATTGCCAAATCCAAGTTATAAAGATTTACCACTGTGTTTTCTTCTAAGGGTTTTATTGTTTTAGGTTCTAAGTTTATGTCTTTGATCCATTTGAGTTTATTTTTGTATATGGTGTAAGGTAAA